GGACGCCTTGGGCGTTGGCCATGTTGCTGGCCAGTCTCTGGAGCCCGAGCTTTCAGCCACTGCAGCAGCTTGAGGGATGAGGTCAGCTTCGACGGACTTGGAGCGCGCTTGCAACCACGCATCTGCCACATGGTGTCCTCCATGTGCCACTGCGCTGTCATAGGATGCGAACGCATATGCGAAGTCGGTCTCATCATGTAGGCCCCATTGAGATCGCCATTGTTCGACACGGGTGGCTGCCACCCTCTCCATTGCCGTCTCTGCACAAGGTGGAGCCTCACCAGCAGCCTGCACCGCATAGGCTCCTGGGTGGTACGCCATGGCGACCCCTGACACCACCGCAGCCAAGGTTTGGAGCGTACGTGCTGGGCCTGAAACTGCAGACCAAACCTCAGTATCATCAGGTAACAAACACACATCACTAGGCCGCAGCTGCTGCAGATGGGTCTCGATGCAAGACGGGGTGACATTGGGAGGGTGGACAGGTGCTGCACACTGAGGAAAAACAGCGCTCACAGAGCTCAGGTGTCGGCAGTCCACAAGCCTTGCAAGGTGGCAAGGGTTCCTCCCCAGCCTCCATGGCACCGAGCCAACCCCATAAAGACCGAACTGCCCTGGCCCGTGGTGCTTTCCACGCAACCAGGTCAGCCGGGATGGGCACCATGGATGGGTCTCTCCATCCTCGACGTGGGGACTGCCAGGTCCTCCAAGCGGCCCACAATTCGGTGAGGTCAACCATACTCTCGGCATTGTGCTCGATGAAGGCGACCAAACCAAAGATGTTGTCCGGCGCAAAATCCCGTGCCGTCCAATGAGTCCGCAGCGGTTCGATGAGTAGCAAATCCAGCTTCGCCTCGCCCAGGCGATCATAGTAGGATTGCCACGCAAGCCGCGGGTCACTCCCGGGCAGAGCCAAGACAGCTGAGCTGTTCCATGTGCCAATCCAAGGGAACTTGAATCCTCCCTGATATTCATTGCACCTCCTACAGTTCTCTTCCATACAAGGTGATCTTCTGAATGGGGGGAGTCCCTGCACCCCCAACCCAATTGGATGAGGGGGGAAGTGATCAATTTGGCACACAGATGCCCACAACCGGGTGGCCTGGGCCACCAAGCCCTGTTGGAGCAAGCCCTCCACGTGCGTCTTGAACTCGTAGTAGGCAGCAGCATGAAGAAGCTCCGCATCTGTGTGGGCAGCCTCATTCCAACCGGGCCGGACGACGACGGAGGCCCTGGGCATCGGGGGGTGACCTCCCACCTTCGTAACCTCCGTACTCTAGGGTAACGCCCTAGTAGAGGAACGAGAAACCACTGACCCTAGGGTAACTCCCTAGAAGTGGCGTGGGTACCCCAGCAAAAGAAAGAACGATGAAGCCAGTTTGGCTCAGACTTGAGCCAAAATGGATTCATCAGCTTACATACTCAACCTAATGATAATGCACACCCAGTGCCTGCCAAACACGATGCATACATAACATGATATATGAATATGGGGATATAGTGATTGAAACTGACACCCCTCAAATTACCATAACTTACCATAATTCAGGTGGTTGATGGTCTTCAAACACCGTAAGTGTCTGGTAATTTGAATGGTATTTCATGGGGATCTATGTTTTTTCCCGAATGCGTAGCAAGGGTTCCCGTTTCACTCTGGGGGTCTGGGGGTTGAGGGTGTGTTCGCTCGACGTTGCGTTTCTGTTCCGTTCGTGCGATCCCCGTATGGCCGTGCCTATGATAAGTTCTGCAGGAGGGGTCATTTTTGGATGTTTCCAACGTTTCGATGCTTAGTTTCGCGTGGCAGGCGTGGCACTTTGTGACATTCAGACGTGTTTTGTAACGTGTCGAAAGTCGTTTTGTGTGGCAGGCGCAATACTTTTGCGACGTTTTCCGAAGATGCGTGGCAGTTTTCGTGGCAGGCGCAGCACTTTGGAGGCGTCCATCGTCATTTTGCGTGGCAGGCGCAGCACTTTAGACGTGTCGCGTTGCATGTTTTTTGCAAATCGCATTGGCAGGGCTGCGTCATGGCGACAAGGTGCAAATTCCGTGGCAGGCGTGGCATTTTGTGACATGTGCTGAAAATTGACGGAAGCCTCGCACGAAACATCGATTTTGAGGTAGCAAATTTCGAGGTTCCTAAGAAAACTCGTAGGAAAACGTCGATTTTGAGGCTGCAAAGTGTCAAAATGCAAGGAAGTCTCGTACGAAATGCTCGTTTTGATGCTCCCACGTGTCTCGTCTCGAGTCTCTGGTTGTCCCGTGGCTTCGCCGTGTCTATGGGGGAAGCTGCAAAACCCGTCCTTTTGTCATGTTGCCAACTGTGAAAATTGCCGGAAGTGTCGCACGAAATGATCGTTTTGGTGCTCCCACGTGTCTCGTCTCGAGTCTCTGGTTTTCCTGTGGCTTCGCCGTGTCTATGGGGGAAGCTGCAAAACCTCTCTTTTTCGAAGGTTTCCAAGCAGGTTGTCATGTCGTTTTGCGTGGCAGGCGTGGCACTTTGTGACATTCCAATCTCTTTGATAACGTGCCGAAAGTGTCTCTGGTTTTCTAGACAGGTCGCCGTGTCTATAAGGGAAGCTGCAAAACATCTCCTTTTCGAAGGTTTCCAAGCAGGTTGTCATGTCGTTTCGCGTGGCAGGCGTGGCACTTTTTGACATTCCAACTTTACACTCCACACTCTACACTTTACACTCCACACTCTACTCTTTACACTCCACACTCCACATTCTACACTTTACAGTCTACACTTTACACTCTACACTCCACAGTCCACAATCTACACGTTACGCACTCTACACTCCCCACTCCACACTTTACACTCCACACTCCACACTCTACACTTTGCATTTTTCACTCCACACTCCACACTTTACATTTTACACTCCTCACTCCACACTTTGCACTCCACACTCCACACTTTACATCACTTTACTCTCTGCACTCTGCACTTTAAACTCTACACTTTACACTCCACACTTTACACTCTACACTCCACACTTAACAGTTTACACTGTACACTCCTCACTCCACACTTTACACTTCTCACTCCACACTAATCACTCTACTCTCCACACTCCACACTCTACACTCCATACTTTACACTCCACACTTTACACTCCACACTCCACACTTTACACACTCTACACTCACCACTTTACACTGCACACTCCTTACTTTACACTCCACACTCCGCACTCTACACTTTACACTCCTCACTCCACACTTACACTCCACACTTTACACTCTACACTCCACACTTAACAGTTTACACTGCACACTCCTCACTCCACACTTCTCACTCCACACTCCTTACTCTACTCTCCACACTCCACACTCTACACTCCATACTTTACACTCCACACTTACACTCCACACTCCACACTCTAGATTCCCCACTCCACACTTTACACTGCACACTCCTTACTTTAACTCCACACTCCACACTCCACACTTTACACTCCTCACTCCACACTTACACTCCACTCTCCACACTCTACACTCCACACTCCACACTCTACACTTTACACTCTACACTTTACACTCTACACTTTACATTTCACACTCCACACTTTACACTTTACACTCCTCACTCCACACTGCACACTCTATACTTTACACTCCACACTCCACACTCCACACTCTACACTCCACACTCCGCACTCTACACTTTACACTCCACACTTTACACTCCACACTCCACACTTTACATCCCTCACTCCTCTACGCTCTACACTCTACGCTCTACACTCTACACGCTACACACACCACACTCCTCACTCCACACTCCACACTTTACACTCCACACTTTACACTCCACACTCCACACCCTACAGTACACTTTACACTCTACACTTCACACTCTACACTCCACGCTCCACACATTCTATACTTTACACACTCTAAACTCCACACTTTACAGTCTACACTTTACACTCCACACTCTACACTTTACACACTCTACACTCCACACTCCTTACTTTACACTCCACACTCCTTACTTTACACTCCACACTCTACACTTTACACTCCACACTCTACACTTTACATTTTTCACTCCGCACTCCACAAATTGCATTTTACACTCCTCACTCCACACTTTGCACTCTACACTCCACACTTTTCACTTTACACTCTACACTTTACACTCTACACTTTACACTCCACACTTTACACTCTACACTCTACACTCCACACTTAACACTTTACACTGTACACTCCTCACTCCACACTTTACACTCCCCACTCCACACTCCTTACTCTACACTCCACACTCCACACTCTACACTCCACACTTTACACTCCACACTTTACACTCCACACTCCACACTTTCCACTCCACACTCCACACTCTACACTTTCCACTCCACACTGCAGACTGGTAACAAGGGAAATATGTACAAGACTGTTCAAATAAACTATTGCTGGAAAGTGTTCTGCGTGACTGCATATACATGTGTTTCGACATCTGCACCATTAACATACGTGTGAGCATTCGGGTTCGTGGGCTGCATCTTGTCTTTTTTTTTTAAATGGGATTATCATGGAAACTGCCTAACTTGCAGTCTTACCAAACGGTGTTCAAAACCTATGGTAAGTTGTGGGGATATAATGGAATAACCTATTGGAATTTCATGTATTAAATTGTAAATGCATGCCACAATACTGGTGCTAAAGTTATGGTATTTAATGGAAATCCCAAGATTACCAAGATGTTCAAAGCCCCATACAAATAATCTAATCTTTTGATCCTTGATCCATAAGTTATGGTCATTATGGTATTTATATGAGGATCTAATACCCTCTGGTAAACAAACATAGCTATTGAAAATTGCCATGTATAATGGATTTACCAATAAAAAATGGTGATTTTCCATAGTTATGTTAGTTTACCAGAGGGTATTTGGGATTACAATGGAAACTGCCCCTGCCTTACAGTCGTTAAGAGTTACGGATTCCCATAGAGCGCCTGTCCCCTGCAAGGTGACGACCAGCCAAGGCACATCGATGCGGGGCGCGGCTTTGTTGGACAACTTGTCGCCTTCCATGAGATTGTACCTGAGAAATCGGGCTGGCAACCAAGTTTTTCAGAGGAAAATCGCTGAACCAAAGGGATGTTGCCATAGAAAACCTCCATCCTTTCTGTGTTTGCTGATTATGGAGATCCTTTCAATTCGGTATCCAAGTTCAAACCATCGCTGCCGAGATCCCAGGAATTCCAGGCCACGGCTGTTTTCACCAACACTGAAAACCCAAGGAATGGAAAACTTTCCGAGACCAAAAAACATGAAGTGGGTTTTTCATGTTTTTTCCCGAGAGCGCCTGCGAAGGGTTCTTCGTAAAAAAGCAGCCGTTATACTAGATCTTCACTCCTTCACATCTGCTGATCTAGATCTTCACACCTTCACATCTGCTGATCTAGATCTTCACACCCTCACACCTGCTGATCTAGATCTTCACACCCTCACACCTGCAGATCTAGATCTTCACACCTTCACATCTGCAGATCTAGATCTTCACTCCTTCACATCTGCTGATCTAGATCTTCACTCCTTCACATCTGCTGATCTAGATCTTCACTCCTTCACATCTGCGGATCTAGATCTTCACTCCTTCACTGATCTAGACACCCTCACACCTGATCTAGATCTTCACTCCTTCACATCTGCTGATCTAGATCTTCACTCCTTCACATCTGCTGATCTAGATCTTCACTCCTTCACATCTGCAGATCTAGATCTTCACTCCTTCACATCTGCTGATCTAGATCTTCACACCCTCACACCTGCTGATCTAGATCTTCACACCCTCACACCTGCAGATCTAGATCTTCACACCTTCACATCTGCAGATCTAGATCTTCACACCCTCACATCTGCAGATCTAGATCTTCACACCTTCACACCTGCAGATCTAGATCTTCACACCCTCGCACCTGCAGATCTAGATCTTCACACCCTCGCACCTGCAGATCTAGATCTTCACACCTTCACACCTGCAGATCTAGATCTTCATCACACCTGCAGATCTAGATCTTCACACCTTCACACCTGCAGATCTAGATCTTCACACCTTCACATCTGCAGATCTACATCATCACACCTTCACATCTGCAGATCTAGATCTTCACACCCTCACATCTGCAGATCTACATCTTCACACCTTCACATCTGCAGATCTCCTCTCGCTCTTCTTCTATTCTCTCTTAAGGCGGGGGCGGTGCCGCCGGAGCGCCACGAAACGCAACCCTTTCGCACGAAATGGACGTTGGACGTCCAAAACCTAGGTAAAATTGCGATTTTGAAGCGTCCCGCGCAACCCTTTCGCACGAAATGGACGTTGGACGTCAAAAACTGAGGAAAAATTGCAACTTTGAGGTGTCGCGCGCAACCCTTTCGCACGAAATGGACGTTGGACGTCAAAAACTGAGGAAAAATTGCAACTTTGAAGGTCCCGCGCAACCCTTTCGCACGAAATGGACGTTGGACGTCAAAAACTGAGGAAAAATTGCGACTTTGAGGTGTCCGCGCAACCCTTTCGCACGAAATGGAGGTTGGACGTCAAAAACTGAGGAAAAATTGCGACTTTGAGTTGTCAATCGCAACCCTTTCGCACGAAATGGACGTTGGACGTCAAAAACTGAGGAAAAATTGCGATTTTACTTCGTCAATCGTAACCCTTTCGCACGAAATGGACGTTGGACGTCAAAAACTGAGGAAAAATTGCGATTTTACTTGGTCAATCGTAACCCTTTCGCACGAAATGGACGTTGGACGTCAAAAACTGAGGAAAAATTGCGATGGACGCTTTCGTTTCTGTACAAGTGTCTGTGTGTAAAAGCGTCTGTGTGTAAAAGCGTTTGTGTTTGAAAGCGTGTGTGCGTGTGTAAAAAGCATCTGCGTGTAAAAGCGTCCTGTGTAAAAGCGTTTGTGTGTCAACGCGTCTGTGTGTAAAAGCGTTTGTGTGTGAAAGCGTGTGTGCGTGTGTAAAACGTATCTGCGTGTAGAAGCGTCTGTGTGTAAAACCGTCTCTGTGTAAAAGCTTTTGTGTGTAAAAGCGTCTGTGTGTAAAAGCGTCTGTGTGTAAAAGCGTCTGTGTGTAAAAGTGTTTCTGTGTAAAGGAGTTGTAGAGGTTACCAAGTACTTCTTTCCTGGGCTCAGACGTGGACGTAGAGACAAGATGCATTGTGCACAGAGTGAACATCCATATTCTTATATGTACGCTGAATGTTCGTGAAACAAGTGAGGATTGGCAAACGGGTATCTGTAACATTTCTTGCACTTCTCGAGGTTTCTGTAGGGTCAGCCCATGAGATCTCGAGAATTGCAGTGTTTGTTTACGATGCAGTGGATCTATGTGATGTATAGCACGAAAAACATATATGTGTTGTTTTCATTCAAATTATGAGCAGTGGACAAAAAAAATAAATAATTCGGGAATCACTGCACCGTTCAATTTTGTATCTCAAAGGTCTTTGTGTGGAAATGCGTCTGACCTCTCTCTCTCTCTCTCTCTTTATCTCTTCCCCCTCTTTCTCTCTGTGGTTGCAAGACACATGTCATCTGATGCCCTTTACCAAATATTCTCTTCTTGATCAATCTTACTTTTTTACATCATGTCTTTCCATAGCTCATATAAAATTCACCAACTATTCACCGACTATCTTTTACGACTACCATACTCAGAGCTGCTTGAAACACATCTTTTTCGCTCTCGGGCCAACCGTCGTCTAGTTTCAACTGCACTTCACACCAAGGTCTTATCCTTTCAGGAGAAGCAACGTGCTGAACTTTGGTTCCCCCCCAAAAAAGGACCTCAACTTCCTGCCATCACTCACGGCCAAAGACGTCATCTTCAGTGGGTTTGTGTGAAAATAGGCAAACCCCCCATTTTTTTGTGGTTGATTTGATTGGGCATCCACCATGGAATCGTGGAAACCCATCTCATGAATGTCTCAAAATTTGATATGCGAAGTTGCAAACACCAGGCATTTTTGTTGCAAAAAAAGCTCACCGTTTTCATTGTCATCAACAGCAACCTAGCGTCATCTTTGAATCCTCAGCAAAATCATATGATCTCCAATCATCCAATCAATGATCGCTATATCGAAAAGATTATTTCGATAGTCTTATAGAACCCTTTTGATATATGACATATAAAATAATACAATATAATACAACATTATATAATATAATAACATAGACCCGGGCAAGCCGGCGGCGGAAGTTTCCCAAACATAAATGACCTATAGTTCAAAGACAACCTGTCCCGACCTTGTCCTTCCCTCGACACTCCACACCTCACACTGCACACTGCACTCTTCGCACTCCAAACTTCAAACTTCACACTCCACACTTCACAGTCCACACTTCACACTTCACACTTCACAGTCCACACTTCACACTTCACAGTCCACACTTCTCACTTCGCACTTCACACTTCACACTTCACACTCCACATTTCACACTTCTCACTTCTCACTGCTTCCTTCACACTCCAAACTTCACACTTCACACTTCACACTTCTCACTTTGCACTTCACACTCCACACTTCACAGTCCACACTTCACACTTCTCACTTCACACTTCTCACTTCTCACTGCTCCCTTCACACTCCACACTTCACACTTCTCACTTCGCACTTCACACTCCACACTTCACAGTCCACACTTCACACTTCTCACTTCTCACTGCTTCCTTCCCACTCCAAACTTCACACTCCAAACTTCACAATTCTCACTTCGCACTTCACACTCCACACTTCACTCACACTTCACACTTCACAGTCCACACTTCACACTTCTCACTGCTTCCTTCACACTCCCAACCTCACACTTCACACTTCACACTGCGCTCTTCGCACTCCAAACTTAAACTTCACACTCCACACTTCACACTTCCCACTGCTTCCTTCACACTGCACACTTCACACTCCAAACTTCACACTTCTCACTTTGCACTTCACACTCCACACTTCACAGTCCACACTTCACACTTCTCACTTCTCACTGCTTCCTTCCCACTACAAACTTCACACTCCAAACTTCACACTTCACACTTCTCACTTCGCACTTCACACTCCACACTTCACTCACACTTCACACTTCACACTTCACACTTCTCACTTCTCACTGCTTCCTTCACACTCCAAACCTCACACTTCACACTTCACACTTCACACTGCGCTCTTCGCACTCCAAACTTAAACTTCACACTTCACACTTCTCACTTCCCACTGCTTCCTTCACACTGCACACTTCACACTGCACTCTTCACGCCCCACACTTCACACTGCTCTAAACCTAGGTGCAACAAAAAAACACTAGCGCCAAAATGGAGAAAATCTGCTAACAAATCCATTTCGCAGCCTTCATGCAGCCAGTCCAAGACGATGTACGAGATCCAGCTGCAAAAGACATTACGCATGCAGCCACAGCATGAAGCAACCTTGACGCAGCCATTACAATGCGATCTGCAGAGACTGAGCGGCGTCGGAAATTGTAGCTCCACAGCCGGATCTCGACGCCAGAGCAGAAAAAAAGACGATTTTGAAGCACTTTTTAAAAGGATTTTTAGAAGGAAAATCACTAGCGCCAAAATGGAGAAAATCTGCTAACAAATCCATGTCGCAGCCTTCATGCAGCCACTCCAATACGATTTACGAGATCCAGCTGCAAAAGACAAAAGTATTACCAATGCAGCCACAGCACGAAGCAATCTTGACACAGCCATTACAATGCGATCTGCAGAGACAGAGTTGCAAAACACAATAGAACTACGCGCAACGGCGTCGGAAATTGTAGCTCCAAAACCGGATCTCGACGCCAGAGCGAAAAAAAAGACGATTTTGAAGCACTTTTTAAAAGGATTTTTAGAAGGAAAATCATTAGCGCCAAAATGGAGAAAATCTGCTGACAAATCACTGTGGCAGCCTTCATGCAGCCACTCCAATACGATTTACGAAGTCCAGCTGCAAAAGACACTAGTATTACGAATGCAGCCACAGCAGGAAGCAACCTTGACGCAGCCATTGCAATGCGATCTGCAGAGACTGAGTTGCAAAACACAATAGAACTACGCGCAACGGCGTCGGAAATTGTAGCTCCAAAACCGGATCTCGACGCCAGAGCAGAAAAAGTTGATTTTTGAAGCGTTTTTTATAAAGAATTGAAATAGAAAATGAAAGCAGGCAAAATCTGAAAGAATCCAGCTGCAGCAAGTTCACGCAGCCATTACAATGCGATTAGCAACAATCCCTAGCAAAACACAATGGTATTACGTCCTCAGCTCGTCCACCGAAGCATGTGAAACCTTCTAGACATTGCGGGAACGATCCTACAGTTGCAAAGCACAATGGAATTCCATCGCAACTCCTCCACCAGCACCACTTGCAATGCCATTTGCATTGAGGGAACGATCCTAGAGTTGCAAATCACAATGGAATTCCATCAGCAACTCATCCACCAGCACCACTTGCAATCCCATCTACATTGCGGGAACGATCCTACAGTTGCAAATCACAATGGAATTCTGTCGACCGCACATGCACGAAACACAGGTGACACCCCATTTACAATGCGGAACCGATCCGAAAATGATCCGACCATGATCCGAGACCGATCCGACCACACACGAGACCGTCTCGCAACCGTCGCACCGCAGAGGTAGATCATCGAGGTTCGGGGACGGACTTGGTATGGAAAAACATAGGGTTTCGTGCATCTGCTATCTCTCAAAAACGCATTTCGTGCGAGACTTCCTTCAAAACTCCATCGGCAACTCCTCCACCAGCACCACTTGCAATCCCATTTTCAGTGAGGGAACGATCCTAGAGTTGCAAATCACAATGGAATTCCATCGGCAACTCATCCACCAGCACCACTTGCAATCCCATTTACATTGCGGGAACGATCCTACAGTTGCAAATCACAATGGAATTCTGTCGACCACAAATGCACGAAACACAGGTGACACCCCATTTACAATGCGGAACCGATCCGAGCATGATCCGAGACCGATCCGACCATGATCCGACCACACACGAGACCGTCTCGCAACCGCCGCACCGCAGAGGTAGATCATCGAGGTTCGGGGACGGACTTTGTATGGAAAAACATAGGGCTTCGTGCATCTGCTATCTCTCAAAAACGCATTTCGTGCGAGACTTCCTTCAAAACTTCATCGGCAACTCCTCCACCAGCACCACTTGCAATCCCATTTACAGTGAGGGAACAATTTCTTTGCTAACTCTTTCTGTGACTAACTCTTTCCCTCACTAACTCTTTCTTTGACTAACTCTTTCCCTGACTAACTGTTTCTTTGCTAACTCTTTCTTTGACTACCTCATATATCCTGACTAACTCTTTCTTTGACTACCTCATATATCCTGACTAACTCTTTCTTTGACTACCTCATATATCCTGACTAACTCTTTCTTTGACTAACTCTTTCCCTCACTAACTCTTTCTTTGACTAACTCTTTCCCTCACTAACTCTTTCTTTGACTAACTCTTTCTTTCACCTGACTTTCTAATCTTTGCTAACTCTTCTTTGAATAACTCTGACGAACTCTTTCTTTGACTAACTCTTTCCCTGACTAACTCTTTCTTTGCTAACTCTTTAACTGTGACTAACTCTTTCCGACGCTTTCCCTCACAAACTCTTTCTTTGACAACTTTTTTTGCTAACTCTTTCTTTGACTACCTCATCCTGACTAACTCTTTCTTTGACTACTTTTTCCCTGACTAACTGTTTCTTTGACTAACTCTTTCCTTGACTAACTCTTTCTTTGACTACCTCATATTCCTGACTAACTCTTTCTTTGACTAACTTGTTTCTTTGCTAACTCTTTCTTTGACTACCTCATAATATCCTGACTAACTCTTTCTTTGACTAACTCTTTCCCTCACTAACTCTTTCTTTGACTAACTCTTTCCCTCACTAACTCTTTCTTTGACTAACTCTTTCCCTGACTAACTGTTTCTTTGCTAACTCTTTCTTTGACTAATTCTTTCCCTGACGAACTCTTTCTTTGCTTCTTTGCTAACTCTTTCTTTGTGACTAACTGTTTCTTTGCTAACTCTTTCTTTGAACTAACTCTTTCCCTCACTAACTCTTTCTTTGACTAACTCTTTCCCTCACTAACTCTTTCTTTGACTAACTCTTTCCCTGACGAACTCTTTCTTTGCTAACTCTTTCTTTGACTAACTCTTTCCCTGACATTCTAAAAGTCCGTAACACGGAAGTTTCTCCCCCTAAACTTCCTTTGACAATATAATATAGTATAATATAATATAATATAATACAATATAATATAATATAATCTAATCATCCAGGTAGCTTCACCCCGTGGTTCAGAAGCAATCAACGATCAACCATCCATGCAAACCTCTGCAACCCATTTTCACCATCAGCGCACGGGAATTTCACCATGAAACACTGAGCAGTTCCATTAATGTCAACCCTGGATTCATAAAACCCTAGGCTGTTTAATTGGGGGGATAATTTAAGTATCATATTGTAACTATTTGGAGGGAACCTCCACAATTAATACACCATGGTTTATTAATCCGGAGTTGACATTACATCCCAATCAACTATCATATCCATAATTCTGGTTGGTTGAACCCCTTAAATTTCTTCGGTGAATTTACCATGCTAATGGCCGCCAAGGTTGATTTTTCCCAACGGGTCGAATGAAGGGGGGGGCACAAGAACTGCGCGGTTTCCATATCCCTGGCATAGTCCAGCGCCGTAAAGCCCGAGCCATTCATCTGCCAACAGTCCGCGCCCATGTCGATCAGTGTGTGAACAGCCTTGGCTGAATGAAGGGAACTACCCTCTGGTAAACATTTACATAGCTATTGAAAATGGCCGTTTATAGTGGATTTTCCCATTAAAAATGGTGATTTTCCATAGCTATGCTAAATTACCAGACGGTAATTCTGTTTCAACCACAGTTTTTGCTGAACCACCAGGTCTTTCCAGGATCATTTTCAAGCCCAAAGTCGAGAAGTCTTTTCTTTACATTCATCTGACATATTCAAAAAACACATATGTTGTTCGGATTTTCCCAGTAACACTCTTTTAGATCCCGCTCAACCATTCTGGCTGGAAACGTTGCTTTCCTATCACAATTTCCAACAATTTCCAAAAAGCTAATCTTTAAACCCTACCAGTCACCAATTCACCAATTTCGATGAAGAAATGACTTGAACATACCTGTGGAGCATACCACAAGTCCCTCCAACATCCCAAGTGAAAGCAACCCTTTCATAAACCATGATGTTGAAGTGGCAAAGGGTGGTGTAGGGGTCTGTTGGATCTTTTCCAGATCTTAATGATAATTGGCATTCATCTCTCTCCCTCTCTCTGTATAGGTATACATTCATAACTACTATCTTCTGTACCGTGGTGTGGCTAGCGTTATGTTCTGCACGATGTATGAGAAGTACGTGATTGACAGTCCATGAGAATTCACAACTCATCACCTTTTACCATACCCGAGAAATGGATGTCCATGAAAGGGGGCAATCTTGATACTTACTCAAGTCAATGGTAATTTCAGGATCCAATACATGGAGCTGCGTGTTAACGTACCATATTTTGGGCCATATGAATTGTGGGGATATTCCCATAGGCCTTTTTTAAATAGGCCAAACATATATGGAATCGGTAGCGCCGTCCTCAATCGCTTCCTGAAATGACCATTGATCACGCTTGAGAGGGGCTGACCATCTGACATTCATCTACAAATTGTCTACAATTATCTAAGTATGGTTGGTTAAGCCGGTTATACCAGCAGCTAATCCCTATCTATTGGTGGTTCAAGTGGCCACTTTTACTATTGCCAATCCTAGACGCCCTGCTCAAAAACATATTTTGGCGGGTTTGACTGTACTGTATCCCAAATTCTGGCATAGGATTCGAGTAGAATCAACTCTCCATCCAGTCAATTAGTTTCCCCAGATCGTATTTACTATACACCCATATATTGGTGGTAAAAAGTATCCGAAGTCCAAGCCAAAGTCGTGAGCAACGGCCTTGCCAATGGTGAGTTGCATCTGCTCGTCCACCTCACTGCGGCAAAGTTTGACATTTGCCAGGAGGAACCTCAGATCTTGTTGCTTCCATGCCTGCTCGAACTCCTCTGCACTGCTGATGCTATCTGCTGAGAGGGCCAGTGCAGCTTCCTCTGCCACCCATACCTGCAGGGTTCCAGTGATGTCCTTCAAAGACGTTGCAAACCAGATCCGGGCTTCATCTTTGGTCCTGACGGTGTCGCCAGACGGAAGGTCCAATGTCGCGAAGTTGATCTGGTACAAAGCATCTGTCTGTCCTCGTCTGCGGCCCGCTGCTCGCTGCTGCGCCCCGCCGATGGCCATGGAAAGGCGCAAGAGCTTGGGCATTGTTTCCTGTATACTGCACCGTGCACAGATCACGAAGCTACGTGGCACAATGCAATTTGTCAACAAAGGTTGAATAAAATGCAATTTGTAAGAAAAGAGGTCGTCCTACGCACGTGCAAAAGCTAATTACACAATTTCAGCAAAACCCATGTCCTTGACTTTGGCGGGGTAAGTATCCTATTTTCAGACTTAAATTTGCACATTCAACAATGACTTTGGGGGTATAAAATAACCACATTACATCTATTTGGCATTATATATCTCCTTTTCTTGGTGTTAAAAACGTCTTAACCCTCTGAATTTATAGCTAATTTAAGGGTGTCTAGGGGATCCCCAGTCATCATTGTTGTTTCAGTGCTGAGTTATGATCATCTGAATCATCCATGACGCCTGGATGATGCACGGGGTAACCCAAATGACCTTTGGGAAACCTCCCCTCCCCACGCGAAAAAGTCCGCGCTGCCCAGATGTGGCCGCTGTCCGCAGCAGCCATCAGCGGAGTTGTCTGCCAACACATGGCAGAGACATCCGCGGCGGCCTAGCACGCACTGGGCTTCGCTTTTTTTCATGCTTAACCACCACCAACAATGGTTTAGTACGGTTTTATAGGGTTTAATCAGGATAATTAATGGTATAATAGGATATGAAGAGATATTTTATGGTTAGCCTCTGGCAATCCAACATGGCCACATGGAAATCATAAAACAATCCCATTGCCAAGTTCGATTGGGTAAGAATCCATCATCACCTCTCAATATATGTACTTGTTACTGATGGTATGCTTAACTTATCTTTAAATACATCATTAACCTTTAAATACGGATATAACCACGATATTTATCTTACAGTATGTTACAGTATGATCTTTAAATACATGTAAAATCGTGGTCATATCCCATCACTTGTCATTAGACCTTAACAGGAACCGTTAAAAATGTGGGATCAACACCTACGATCCATACATCGAAATACCAAAAAAATGAAGGGATGAACATCCAGAAATCCTAGCAATTTGGGGTTTTCAGAACAGTGTAGGGTGAAGTTTCAGTGGGTCAACCCGAACTCACCAATGTGGTTCATATGTGAGACCCAATGCTCGAGTTCCGGAAGAATCTTGCCTTGTTTACAACTCTGTTCTGAGCTTCGTATGGAACCATTCTGCCGTATGGCATCACATGTTTGGAGCTGACATTGGTTCAAAGTTGTCACACAGCAGCCAGGGAGGGATCATGAACATCGTCGACATGGATGCGTAGGTGATCAGAAACGACTCCACCATGGCATCGCCAAAGGATTGCCTGGCACCTCGTCACAGTAACTTCGTGGAACGAGGCGGCAAATTGCGTGGGAGGATTGACGGCTATCTCCCCATTTCATGGAAGTTAAATCACCATTCTTGAGAGATTTTGGCTCAAACCCATTGACCTGCCATTGGCAAAGGTCAGTTTCCTGGGCGCCCAGTCATTGCCTTCCAATCCAGAGAAGTGGCGTGGCTGCCCGTGCCGACCAAAGGCAGAAACTTCATGTGAGACACGCGCAACAAAGATCTGGGCAAATTCATGATTATTTGGAGGTGCAGTTGGGGGTGTTCCTGGGTATAATCATGGGATATTCACGTTATTAACCTCCAATCAGTTGGGAGAAAAACAACCCATGACGGTGAAATATATCCACTTAGTTCACTGGACTAGCCCTTGGGGTGATCCCCATTCAATATCCAAAATGGGGGATATAATGAAGTCAATGGGCATTAGCTCTGAATAGATTGTTGAGTTGCTGGTTTGCTGGTTTAAGCCTCCAATCTGTTGCTGATGCTTGGTAATACATCTCATCAACATCCATAGGTGGGGTCCCATCAAAAAAAATATGTGGTAAACCTACTATAATATCCCCAATAACCCACATGGGATAATTTTACATCATTCCAAATAGGAGCCCCACTAAAGCCCACTGGAGGTTCAGCGGCCTCAATCAGAGTGCTGATCACGTCTCCATTACCTGCGCCTGGCAAAACTGGGGAGACTGAAACGAATAGAATGAAGATATGGAAAAGCTGATCACATCGTAGAAAAATCATAGATTTAAATCTAACTTTATGTATTCTTTAGTACGATCATCCTTTTTTTGACACTTTATTTTCCAATTTTCAAAGACCAAATGAGTCCTTTGTGCGACAAAACATCTTATTTGGGAAGATACAACACACACCAACGTGCAGATGGACCGATCATTCTCCGGTAATCGCCCTCCACTTTAAACTACTCCAATCTTCATCCCTGCCAAAAAATATGAAAGAATAACATATGATGATATCCTTGCTATGTAAGGCTCTTATATTTTGAAAGGAGGAATTCGATAGAAAGCTGAACTCATATTCGTTTTACAATTGGAAATCGTTTTTTCTTGCTAGAATAGGGGAGTCAAACCCATTTCAACAACTGTAAATCCGATCATGATTGAATCTTTTAGTCAACGAAAAGATTGAATGAAACCACAGGCATCGTGATATTTCACTCTGATGCAGTAAACACTCAAGAGGAGGGGCTTATACAGGAAATGTAGGGGATGCCCGAAACATATTTACAGCCAATCGTTAACCTATCCTCAATGACTGAACTGTTGAAACATCAGCTTTCATCTTTTCTAGCCAGTGGCTGAAGCTTGAAAATCTTCGGATGCACTTGGCAGCTTGGAATCAGTTTTGCTGAGAATGTTGTGGTGACCAGTTGTTGGAGACTCCTGTCCAAAGGATGACAAGGATGACATGTACGTCCTGTGGCCGAAAAATGTCAATCTTCACCAGCAGGATTCAATGAGTGGGAACAGTCATGGCAGACAAAATCCTTCACTTTCATGGTTTCACTGCCCACTCCTCATGCAGGTGCTTTCAACGAAAGAGGATCGGTGTAAATATTGAGATGTTTATTTCTGTATACCTTCCAACCAGCTCGAATGTCGTAATAAATTGCAGGGCAGCCAAGATTGGCCGTGAAAAGATCACAACGATTGCTGAATCAAGCAACTGGTCACATAGTTTCCTGTTTTAATTTGAACATGCACTCGCCAACTAGAAATGTTTTGTTTGAGGGTAAAACACTATTTCTTTGTCTATTCGAAAGATTCGAGCGGTCTCAACCATCATTGGGCTGACCCACTGGTTGCCATACTCACCATTATGTATACCACCATTTATTAAGGATAACAGTTAAGCCATTAAAACCCACACATATGTACATATATATATATACACATACACATACATCAGACAGTGAATCAATCATTTTATATGGTTATGCGCCAAAACCCTGCTACCCTATAGGTACCCTTAAAAAGCATAGCAGGATGTTGATTCCCTCAAATACAGTATGGTAATTTCATGGGTAACTCGACCCATCCCATATACATACCAAGTTTGGCCCAGTTTTGGCTGCGCACGCCTTCGTTGACACAGGCCAGTTGCAAGGCATTCATCAGATCCTGAACCAGCGGTCTTAGCGGAAAAGAACCTATTAATGACAGTTTTATGGTTTGGAATCATGGTTTAGAACATGTTAGAAACCATGGTTATATTCTATCATATCTCCAATGGTTAGTGGATGTTAATGGTATTAAATGGGGGTTTGAACCAACCATTTGATACCAGGGGGATATGATTGAATATATATAAATATATATAGTGATATGTTAAGACACCATTTTTCTACCCTTCCAGTTTATGAATAGAGGGGGTACCAACTTTAACAATAGCTGACTTGGGGTGCTGCCCCTAATAGCAGTGGTTTAGTCTCATCCGGGTTGACATTATTCCACAAACAATATATTTAATCAATGTGAACCAGCAAAAGATATGACATATGAGAATATTTCGAAGGACACGCACGGGTTTGCAACCAACAACGATCTAGACACTGGAAACGTGATTGAACAGACAGATCACAAAGAACCCGATTTCCCAGGGGAAAATTCAGGGGATTTTTGGCGTCAAAACACGGGATTTTGCCATCTTCCCATGGATGTTTTCTCCCAAATTGTAGGGATTCTTTCGCAGCCTCCACAGGGAGTTCGCAGTTTTCTTGGCACACCATTCTCATGGGAAAAAAACCATCCAGTAACAAGAAAACATCATAAAACCACACAAATTATCAGGCCAATCTTGTATACCCAGCAAGAAAGATGGCTTTTTGGGTATTGCATTGACCCAATTAACGGCACGAATAGATAGCGAGTACCCTACCACCAAGGTAGGGAGTCTGACATGGCGTGCTGTTAAATGCCATCCTAGAAACATCAAGTGACATTCCCAAAAACAATCGTGTATCTCCCACTGCGCTCTTACAAACATGTTTCTATCTTTACAAATAATATTCACATGAATCACCAATTATATTCCAACTAAACATGGAAAGACTGCCACCGACCATGCTTGATTGCCCATTCAGAGATGATTTTCCAACCTTTTGGTCATGGCAATTTCCAGCCAGACATTCTTGACAAAGAGCAGATGGAACCAATCAAAGCGATATGCCAATCCATTTGGCGCTCAAATCATTGGCATGATGAAATGCCCAAAATGACCAGGACTTCGGATTCAACTGGCATAAATTCGTACGAGTACTGCCTTGGCACTCACATCTCCGCACGGCCATTGAAAAGCGGCACAAACACGAACAACATCGAACCAACCAAACAAGTGTTCAGACATGTGCAAACATCCCCACACTATTCTCGCAGCCTAATTTTTGAATAGGATTTGTCATGTGTCCACTTGCCACCAACGTAGTGTTTTTTTTTCCGCTGTCTGGCCACTCGCTCCTGCAATTCCACATTAAGACTTGTTTTTTCGTCCCGCGCACACCACGACCGCACAGCGTGTGTAAATAAGAAAAGCAAGCCAGCCTGCGTGGAGAACACTTGATTCCTCCGACTGAGAAAGTTCGCCTCTGAAATCCATGCAAATCTTTCAGTTTCTCCATAGCCACATCATCAGGCAGTTCTCTCAACCCTTCGTTTAACAGCGTCACATAGAATTGCCAATCCATAGTTAGATAATTAACTATAATGGAATACATGCGGACATTGAGATTGGCAGTCTCTATTTAGAGAATCCCTTTATATACACATGCCTAACCACACATGTATGTACACACACATATATATATATACACACACAACATACACGTACATATGCACATGTATGTAAATATGCAAAATTAAATCCCATCATATAAAATTAGTATCTCGTAATATCTCATAGACATATCCCCACAAAATGCTTGCTTGAATACCCACTGGCCGTTGCTGTAACCACTGGTCTGCTCCAATCTTCTTTAGTGTCGCTGCTGGGGCCCTCAGCATCATCCGATTGTTCAGTCCGAGACTTCCTCCGTTTGTTTTTCCTCCTCCGAGACTTTGTGGTATTGAGGAATCATTTCCTGTTCGATTTTGGTTTGGAGTTCCATGGCCATCTCCACTCGGTAGCCGCTGATCAGTTCTGAATGTGTTGGTTCGTACCTGAAATTAGCCATGATTTCATCCATTCTAACACCACCAAGAAACACATAAGAACAAGAACAACTACAATAACTACAATTGCAACAAAAATAATGACAGCCACAATAACAACAATCATGATAATTATAACAACATCACACCATACAACTAATATTACAGTAAAACAATAACACGCCATCCCCAATTTCACCATCAATGGCTTGTATATACTATCAAAATATGGCTGGTTCATTGTTACTTTACCATACAACCAGATATTTTTCCCCTTGTCTTCGCCAACGTTGATGCGCCCCAGATGGCGAACGCCCCTTGGTTGGGACTCCCGGCAGCGTTCTTCCGTGTGACATCTGCGGCATGCTCCACCAACTCTTTGACCTTCGCGATGAGCACATGGCCGGTGGGGCGATGAGCACACCGTGTCTGAAAATGAATGGGCCAAAGATGGCATTTCAACGGGAGATGGGACATATTACGATTGACCGGAAATATATATATATAGGGTGCTCTGTTGACGGACCACTGTGGACATATATGGGACGCTTGTGGCAAACTATGGGCATATGTTTTGGTTTCCGTATGTCGGAATCATTCTCAACAAGGGTCTATGGTGGTTATAAGCAACCAACATATGGGATATCATGGGGCTAATCGGTTGGTTTGGGTTCCAATGGTGTGCAACATCACTCATTTATGGTAACCCCAAATACGTAAAACCAAAGAAATTGGACACATGTAAATTAAGATAAATCTCATACAGCCTCAAACAACATCCAAAATAAAGTGGGCTTTTTGAATCATCTTCCCGGTTGTGACGTGCAAGGTTTACTCATTTGAATGTCCCATCCAAGTAGCCAGAAAAGGTAGGGGATCCCATTGCTAACATCCTTGCAGGACATCTACCAAAAACTGTGGGGTGTAAACCATTGGAATAAAAAGAGGCTGAGAACTTGGGTTAATTGCATCAGTAACCCTTGCTGTTGAAGTAGCGGCTTTTGGTAATCCTACCCTGGGACCCTTTCATTGGGGCCCTTCAACGTCCCAATACATGTTGTTCTTGCCAGGGGACACCAATAGTTGGGGCACCCCTTATGTTTGGACACAAACAAGATTTGGCCATTGGATCCATTGGAAAGTATGGACGTCATCCATTGGATCCAATAAACCAACTGCAGCATGGTCAAACATCGACCCAAACCACCGCTTTCCATGGCTAATCCTAGATACCCAGGGTTAAAATCTTGGTTATTTAACATAGCCATGGAAAGATCCACCATTGTTAATAGGTAAATCCACTATTTCTATGGGCCATCTATACCATGGCTATGTTAGTCATAACCAGAGGGTAAAATCTTGGTACTCAAAGCAGCACACCGCTCTGCGATCCAATCACTATGGCATGCATTTGCCTTGGAAGGAACGGTGGAACATTTGGAAAATCCTGAATCATCGGATGGGAACGCCCAGCAAGAAAACCAGAGTGAAAAAACTTCAGGCTTACCCTTTGGTTATTTGACATATAGCTATCGTATAGATGGCCCATTTATAGAGGTTTACCTATTAAAAATGGTGATTTACCTATAAATTACCCTTTGGTTATGACTAACATAGCGGTATAGATGGCCCTAATCGAGCCGCCGGATCGCCCCGCAGAGTGTGACAGCTTCAACAGAAACTAGGGTTGGGTTCCAAAAGCCAGCCTGAATTTATACTGGTTTAATGGTGGTTAATAGTGGTTGATAATGGTTAACTGGTTGGTGGTTGAGCCTACCCCTCTGAAAAATGATGGAGTTCGTCAGTTGGGATGATGACATTCCCAACTGAATGGAAAGTCATAAAATTCCATGGTTCCAGTCACCACCAACAGTCTGAATTCTCTCTCTCTGTCTCAGATCTTTACAGGAATGAGACCAAACATTTGGACAAACAGGTCACCCTTTCTTCGCTTGCACCGAGCATTGGCGGATTATCCTTTGAGATCATGGGATATCAAGAAACCCAAATTATATACTGTATATTAAGAAATAGCAAAGCCGTTCAGTTAACCCAAATTTGAAATATATCAAAATCGTTTAAAATCACTATATCACAATATAGACAACACGCACATATATTTCACATACAGTATAGTATAAAAAACATATTAATAACATATGAACATGCTGCACATATAGTATGAATATAGTATAAATATAATGTAAACATGATATAAACATAAACTAACTACAACAGAAACTTCTAAAATATATATACTTTGAAAATCATATAGGTACAATATAAACAAAACAATGGTGATATGAATAAAACATGAACATTCTGTACAACAAATATACATGCAATATATTTAGTATAAGTACACTAAACACATACACATGACGTATAAATACAACATACCTACAGTTTTAACATATCATACACATAAAATGCACATAAATACATGTAACGTCAATATACGACGAATACACTGTATATATGTATGTATGCATATTTAAGAATAGTATAGTGCACTGCAATAATACAATTATGATATGATAAAACATAGGAAATAATACAATATGACACAATATAAGATAAGCTACGATAAAATAATACTATTATATACTATTTTACAGTATATTATATCAGGAAAAACCGATCTTAGCTTATCTGGTTGGAGGTATACCTACCCCTCTGAAAAATATGAAAGTCACTTGGGATGATGACATTCCCAACTGAATGGAAAAATAAAATTCATGTTCCAAACCACCAACCAGTTATGAAAACCATCTAGTAGATCGAGAAATCCCCACCAGACATATCCTATTTTCGCCAGGGAACGATCAAACACCGACCCAAGAATGCCGCGTCCATCACCGGCGTATTCTTCTGATGATCCAACTGGTTCACCAGCCTGGGTACGGAAAAAAAACGGTGAAACCTTGAGTGGTTTACAAGTAATTTATAGCGGTTTAATGGTGGTTAATAGTGGTTGATAATGGCTAACTGGTTGGTGGTTGAGCCTACCCCTCTGAAAAATCATGGAGTTCGTCAGTTGGGATGATGACATTCCCATCTGAATGGAGCAATAAAATTCCTGTTCCAAACCACCAACCAGCTAGGATATGGAACAACAACATGGTGGCTTTACCAAGAGAAACATGGGGTGATGCGGACCATAAGTTGAAGTTTGGCTGGGAAAATTTAAATTGTCCCTATCGATGGCTGTCCAAGGTGTACTCAGAGATGAACGCCAGCAAAACAAAACTCCACCACCACTGGGTTTATGCAGGGTTGGTTTGGTGGCAAGCCATTGCATAAAACTGTGGCCAATCTTGGATACCATGCAACAAGAAGCGTTTAACTTTTAGCTGGTTATGATACTCCTTCCCCATTTAAACCGTTTTTTTTTGTTTCCATGGGAAGAGCCTCATTTTCCGGTGTATCATTTGAGAAATTTCCCTTGGTCCCATGATATCCTTATGCTCCGCCTCCTCCATGTCCAAATCGGGAACAGAATGACCACCATTCAATGGATCTGTGTCAAAACCCTGTACCCATGTTTACAACCTTGTTCTCCGAGGGAACCAAAATAAAAATGTGCAGCAACAACTCCATGTTGACAAGCCAAGTGCTTGTTTCAACTGAGCTGTCGGGGGAGCCTCTGACAATCGGATACCAGACAAGTTCTGATCCAAACGTGGCCGAATTTCACGGTTCATCAGAAACTCAGAGACATGTTTGACTTCTCCCCAGTGACTGCTGCTAAGTGCGTTGTACAAAAAAAACATTCAAATCCAGAGAAAGAGGTGAAGTCCGAGAAAAGGAATTCCAGGTGCACATCTCTATGCCATAGAATGCACCTGGAATTCCTCCCCAAGAACTGCTATTTTTTTTGGTATCGGTTCATAGCCAAATAACTAGCATATAATTGCATTAATACCACATGAAGGTTTCCTAAAATGATGCTATTCCCAGTCATCATCCATTTTATTTTTTAGATTTTCCATTCTTTCACCCATCCAGCTATTGGGGCACCCCCCATAGAAACCTCCATATTACTAACCAATCATATTATAATTGATCAATAGTGAGTAATGGTGATTGGTAATGATTAATCGTGATTAATACTGGTTAAATGTGATACATACACATCTATAATCACTATAAATCATTATAGCCACTATCAATCACTATTAGCCACTATGTATATATATATACCCAACATGTATCACATTTAACCACCATTAATACTAATACTATCACTATATTATATGTGGCATTATCTGCTGGTTGGTGGTTTCAACCCCTCTGAAACATATTAGTCAGTTGGGATGATTATCCGATATATCATGGAAAATAAACAATGTTCCAAACCACCAACCAGAACAAACATAGCATTTCAACGCACGCACGGGCCTGGCTGGCGCACGGCGCATGCAAGTTCTATAGATGAGAAAGGTCTTATAGTATATCCCTAAGGCAACTTCCGCCCCGCCTCGTGCGGATACTACTGGTAGTATCACTATTTTATATGTGAGATATACTGGTATATCCGATATATGAAATGGACAATAAATATAGGAAATGGAAAATAACAAATGTTCCAAACCACCAACCAGAAATGGTTATTAATGGTAAAGTTATACTCTGAATATACCTATAGTATCACTATTTTATATGTGGCATTATAAATATACACCCAAAATGTATCACATTTAACCACCATTAATCGTATCCCTATATCTGGGATGATTATTCCCCATATATGGAAAAAACCCAGTTCCAAACCACCAATCAGTATATGGCAGTGTGTCAAAACCTTGTACCCCTGGTGAACATCAAAATAGCTGGTAAATGGATGTTCATCCCCCTAAACATGGTATTAATAGGTATTGATCCATACCCATATGTGGCATTATCTGTATATCTCACATCAATCCACCACGTCCAAGCCATCCAAGCCACGAAGGATCTGCCTCCATCATCTGTCGGCAGATCCGCAGGTCCCCGCGGCTCGCCGCCACGTGCAGCGGCGAACGTCCTACGCCGGAAAGGAAGCCCCACATTTTTCCGGATGGGGTTTATTGGATGGGTTTAACCATAGAAAATGACGGTTGAACATGGTTCAACCCAGAAAATTTGGGACCTTATTTATATAAATGGATTTGTTTGCATGATTTTATGTATATGCGCATGGGTCAACACCCTTGTACCCTGGTGAGCTTCAAAATAGCAGGACAATTACCTTTTGTCACCCAAATATTTGGCCCAGAAGTTTTGACTTGGACCCATACCCAAGGGAGCTTATGCATTTCTAAAGGTGATCCACTCTATATCCGGGAAATTTCTTCTCCCGCTCGTTTGATTTGTGTGTATCCATTAAACAATTCGTCATTAAACTTATCCGCACACAAACGAAAAATACGAATTAACACAATAGAATTCGTTCACATGATACTTTACAAAGGTGACTTTCGTACTTAACAATCGATGCATAAACGATCATCCATTTCGCGAGGAAATAAACTTGATCTAGACAAACAGCATACCAGTTGCAATTGGCCCCAATGCATGGTTGATGGGGCTACAGCATGTCTTTTCCAAAATGGGTGTTTTAGCTGTAGTAATGAGGTTGAAACCCACTTTTTTTGGGCAGTTGATGGGCCATGGGGCTGAGACACTAGCTACAAGTCGTAGTACGTCGGCTTTTTCGAGTTATCCTCTGGTAATCAAACGTGGCTTGCTGGAAAACCCCTTGTGACGTGGAGGTCTCAATGGGAAAATGACCTGTAAATGGTGGATTTTCCAGCCACGTTTGTGGCCACAGGGTCTGATGTCCAGGCTTTGCAGCTGGGGGAATTTCATATCATCTTGGCATATATTGGCTATTTGATGACCACATGATTCCATATATTTTCCATATTCATACAGGATGGGGCCCCCCAGTGATGTGAACGTTGGTTTATAAACCATGATAATCCCCATTAAGTAGCTCGTGATATCTACCATAAACCATAGAATTCAACCACTTAGAACCATTTCAGCTTCGCCATGTGAAACTCTCCATGGACCCGCTGGACCCCGCCGTCCTCGTTCATCCCTGGCCGCCAAAATCCCCGCGGCCTCTTTCTTCGCTACGATCTCCGTGGCAGCCTCTGGTCATGGCTGGAAAATTCCCCCGAACTCAATGGGCATGGGATTCTTTCAACGAAACAATTTGGGCTTGAAATTGTGATGTTCTATAGAAAATCATACATTTGATAACTTGTGGATAAACAATTTTGACATATCAACAACCGGATAATAATCATTATTCCCAAGTAAAACGGGGCATGGAGTCTTTTGGGATTTGCGCATACTGAGCCAATGACAGTCTGCCTAAACGGATGGGCCCCGTTTCCAGCTATCACTGGCTTCGTCGCCTCTTTTGAGCTGGCAGATAGTAGTGATCAACCTTGTTCAAGGTGTTTCCAATACTGCTTACTTGTCATCTGGTTGGGGGTTTCAACCCCTCTGAAAAATAGGAAAGTCAGTTGGGATGACTATTCCCAATATATGGAAAAATGTTCCAAACCACAAACCAGTCACTAATCTCTTCTTTGATTTACATTAAAGCCTCATGTGTGGTCCTTTAGATACCGATTTTACCTCAGTGATGAGATACCACTTACTTGTGGCATCGTCGCCGCATTTTTTTTTGTCGGTGAGTTTTGACAATTTCCTCCATAGTTGGAACAAAATACCATCTGGTTATTGAAGATAGCGATTGAACATGGTCCATTTACGGATAATTATGATCATTCACCTATGAGAAATGATCATTTTCCAGTTCGCTACGTTGAATCACCACAATATGGCCACCTGTTCATTTTCGTGACGTTTCTCCTCAAAGGCAATGGGGTCACCCATTTCCATTGATGAACTCTTCCCCTCTGCTTATGACCCATCATTCAAACGTTTTGTCGCTATTTTCCTCATTCAACTCCCATTTCTTGCATGTCATCAGTCAGCAGTTATCAACATCGCATTTCGGTATGGATTGAAACTTGAGGCCCAAGTAACTCAGGTGATCATTCCAATTTCGGTGGTAAATACGTTTGAACATCATGTGATTCCTTTTTTACATACACATTTTCTAAACTGTGTTGTACCCTATCTTGGAGAAACCCTTAACATATGTTCGCTATTTACATGACTATATCAGTCAAATCAACATATCCCCGTTTGTGTTTGTATGAAAATAGGGTACGTCAAATGTGATGCTGAATCATCATTTCCCTTCTCAAGATGTACGATTTTTTGAGGTATCCACCATTTCCAGGCAACAGGCATTTTTATGGTTCTTAAGCACCTGCCCTAACATCATAGTCAACCTTAGGTGCTCTGCACAACATCATGAAATTGTTGGCTGGTTAGGTTACCCTCCGGTGATGTTTTCAGATGACTTCCCTAAGCAGAAACGTTCATTTACCCTCCGGTTATTTGAAATAGCCATGGTATAGATGGTCCATTTATAGATGGTTTACCTATTAATCGCATGGTGATTTTCCATGGCAAACTGTTAGTCATAACCAGAGGGTAACCATTAACCACCATTAGGGGGTGTTTTAACCATCATTAACCATCATTTAATGGTGATTAGGGGGTTCATCATTAATCACCATTAATCATTAATCACCATTAATCATTAATCACCATTAGGTAACCATTAATCATCATTAAATAACCTTCATTTAGTTCGGGGATTTTCCAGCCACGTAGAAAATGACACATTTGAGGGTACCATGTCCAGGTGCTGAGAAGTCTCGGACTCGGTTGACTCGGTTGAAGATAGATCCCATGATCTCACGATGAATTTATTCATGGGATATGTAACCAACAGTGGTCATTCAAACCACGAAATCATGGTAGTTTAAACACATATATATAGTTTATATATATATATAGCTGTATACAACCAACAATCCATATGCTAATCAAAACAATACTTGGATTTGCGTAATTTTTACATCTGCCAAAACGATATTCATAGATTCCCCGGTCCTGGTGGATTTCCCACAGGGAATATCCCACATGAATGCTCTCAGGTTTCCTTTAAACCACCCCAGTGAGCAGGATCTTAGTTTTGTTTTTTTCAACCCTTATAACATGCTGGTTGTAGATGGTTATATGATGTTAAATATCTGTCTAAGTGGTATTGAATCATCTTCAATCCCCAAAGGATTGTCGTGAAAACCATGACATGGGGATGTGCTAACAATATAAAACCATAAATATGTATATATATAAAAAGATGTATATATAAAATGAATATATGTATATATGTAAATAAATGTATATATATATATGTATATGTATATATATATGTATATATATATATATGTAAATATGTATATATATAAATATATATATGTATATATGTAAATAAATGTATATATATATGTATATGTAAATATATATGTATATATATATATGTAAATATGTATATATATAAATATATATATGTATATATGTAAATATATGTATATATATATAAATATGTATATATATAAATAAATATGTATATATATATATGTATGTATATATATAAATATGTATATATAAATATATATATGTAAATATGTAAATATATGTATATATATAAATATGTATATATATATGTATGTATATATATATAAATATGTATATATATAAATATATATATGTATATATGTAAATATATGTATATATATATAAATATGTATATATATAAATAAATATGTATATATATATATGTATGTATGTATGTATGTATGTATGTATGTATGTATGTACATGTATACATGTATACATATGTCATTATACATCCGTCTAACCACTTAGGTGGTCATCAGCCAAACCCTGCTGGTCCGCCTCGAGTAGCTCTGCAGGGTCCGCCTCGGGGTCTTTCCTTGGAGCATGGTGCTTGGACTTGCCAGGGTTGGCAGGTGGTTGCAGCTATAGGAACCCCACGAAACCAATCCCAAATGATGGGGGGGGGGTCAAAATCCCATGCTTCCAGTGGCTGCTGGATGATCATCACAAGAAACCGGGCTGTTCCAGTGGCTGCTGGATGATCATCACAAGAAACCGGGCTGTGCGGGGGAGACCTACCTACGGTGATGGATATGGAAAACAACCATGGTTTGTTTCGGTTTCCCGCCCCAAAAAAGGTTTGTCTCTTGTCGCATCTCAAAGATACAAAAAATCTCTGTGATAATTGATGTCGATGGAAGCCTATAATCACTAATCACTGCTGCTCTCGGATGCCGTTGAGGCAATTGTTTCATTGTTTTGTCTATTTTCCTACAAGGAGGTGAGGAACAAAATCAAGACCAAAACTATATGCAAGTCACCAGGGCTACGGAAATCACAATGATAAACAACTTCTCGCATGAACCTGCGCAAGGTGACTTGCCATTATTTCTTTGGATCTCAGGAAATTTCCAAAGGGCTCTGCAGTCTCCATAGTTGCATTGATGAGCATGCCCCAATGTGGGTATATAAACAAATTCTTGGGTAGCCGGCTATGATATATCTATCTGACTATCTGTCTATCTACCTATCTAAATACACACATCCTATTATATCACCATCTATATTCGGTATTTGCCCAAATATGTTGTTGATTGCATGCATGTTACTTGCCTGAAGTTCAGGCTGAGGGTTTTCCAGAACAAAAGCATCCACGGGCATACAAAATCAAAACTTTCGTGTGTGTATGGTAGCCCCTTTGAGAGAAAAAACTGTTCTTCGCGCCTCCCTCTGGCATGATCCTCGGCTTGGATTGTTCAAGAGCGGATGCAAATTGATATCTGGAAGCTTCGCTGCTGTCTTTTCTGGACCGCCGCTGGCGTTGCACATGCGGCTCTTGTGAAACAGCCTCACTTCCAAGGTTCTCTCCGCGGCCAGGAGCGGTAGCAGGAGTGCATCCTTGCCGACGCGGATGCTGCCGACTTGGCAGAAGGTGTTCCCGGTCGTTCGGAGTGCGGCCCATGGTTTCACATCTGTGGGCTACTTCAACAACTACTTCACACTCACACGCATTTAATGGTCAATTCTGTTTAATGGTGGGGTTTTGTGGTATACATACATGATAACATACCAAACTATATGGTCAATAGTTTCTTACAACCTTATCTTTATCACTAAATCTGATACCTCTATCACACATATATATATATATTTTAAACTGAGTGTGGTACAGCCACAAATAAATCATCCCATTAACCAATCATGACTGGGGGTAATTTTACATCATCCCATTACTAGGGGTATACCCAATTTCATGAATCTATACAGAATTTCACAAAC